ATTTAGGCGGAGTCTCCAGGATCAGCAGCAGGATCTTCCATGGACTCTATTGAGGTAACAATTTCGGAGTTCGTTTTCGACAGACTGATTGGTTTCACCTTCGAATCGTGGTTCCAAAAGTACGAAGATATTTTTCGTGTGGAATTGGCTGAACAAGATGATGCTTGGTAGGTCCGTTTGCTGTTGAGGAAACTCGGAGTAGTTGAACATGGATGGTATACAAATTTTGTTTTGCCCAAAAATCCAAGAGACTTCAGTTTCGGGAAAACGGTGAAAACATTGACACAGATATTCGATGAGCAAGCGTACTTATTCAGTAACCGGTACAAATGACTAAAATTGGTCAAACGAGATGCACATGATTTCGTCACAAATTCTGGCACCGTGAACCGAGAGTGTGAAGGTTTTAAACTGGGCACCAGGACACCTGATCAATTCAAGAGTCTTGCCTTTGTATGCAGTCTCCAATGCCGTGCGGATGCCGATGTTCGAACGCGTATCCTTCACAAATTAGAACGAGAACCGAAGCTGACATTGCAGGAGATTGTAGCTGAGTGTCAGAGGCTGCTGAACCAGAAACATGACACACAAATAGTGGAGATTTCGGATTCCGGAAGCGAGCTCCACATCTGTCGCACAGTCGTTCGCAGCAAAAATGTGAATCAAAATGTACCGAATCGGAAGCCCCCTCCTGCGTGTTGGAACTATGGCCAGTGGAACTTTGCGAAAGACTGTGAATACAGGAATCATCAACGTCGCAAATGTAAACGCATTAGTCATAAAGAAACCTGCAGTTGAGGACCTCACAACTTCAGACGCATATTTACTCCAAGGGTTCGAGCAAACTCCAAGACCAGATTCTAGGGTGCGAAGACGAAAGCGATTCTTGCCGCATTTCGTACAGGATTCACAAGCAACAGAAAATACCTGACTGTGAAACTCAAGGATGTTCCGGTATTGTTGCAGCTAGATCCAGCGTCCGACATCACCATCATTTCCCGATCGACATGGGATAAGCTGGGTGGACTTCCAGTCAAACACACAAGTCTTACACATTATGACCCGAGGTTGGAAATCGTCGTGGCCCCGGATGCTTCCAACTATGGAATTGGAGCACGATGGTTCAGTAAAAGCTGTCGCACACGCTGCACGAGCCCTTACGGCATTTGAAAAGAATTATAGATTAAGAAGAAAGCATTGGCTATCCTCTTCGCTGTTCAGAATTTTCACTAAATGCTGTACGGACGACTCGTCACACTGCTAACGGAATATTGGCCGCTTCTCGAAAGTTTTGGGTCGAAGAAAGTTATCCCGTAATACACAGCCAGTCGATTACAGTGATGGACAACGTTAATCTTGGGTTAGGATTTCACCATGAAATATTTGTCAACAGATTCTATCATGAAAGCACAAGCTTTAACAAGACTAATCGATACCGCAGACACAAACACGAAAACGCAGTTATTGCCGCAATCACAACTGAACCAGATGTCAGTTATATGGTACATGATACCGTGAACAACTTACCGGTCAAAAGCAAGATGGTTCAGGAAGCTACAAGACGTGATCCGCTGCTACAAAACGTCCTGGCCTACGTTAGACATAGCTGGCCAAAGTAATGTCCAAAAGAAGAACTTGCCCAGTTTTACACGCGAAGAGATTCTTTGTCAGAAATTGACTCTTGTCTGTTCTTCGCCGATCGCATCATCATACCTGAAGTCCTGCGGAAACGCGCTTCAAAACAACTCCACCAAGATCATCCAGGAATTACCCGAATGAAGGCATTGGCTCGGAGCTACGTCTTTTGGCCGAAACTTGACAACCAGCTAGAGGACATTGATCCTACCTCTTCACGATACACATATGCTTACAAGCTGCCGATACGCAAAACGCTACAGTTTTGGTCCACGCCGGAATCACCATGTTCGCGGCTTCATGTGGAATTCGCGGGACCGGTTGAAGGAGTTACGTTACTTACAGTTGTTGACGCTTACAACAATTTGCCGGAAGTAACGGTGATGCAGAAGACGTCAGTAACCAATACACTGCACGCATTGAGACGCATGTTCAGCCAGCATGGCCTACCAGAAAACATTGTGTCGGGTAACGGACTGCAATTCACGCCTCATCAATATGTGGGGTTTTGTGCACGCAATGGGATCGAACACCTGAGGACTGCACCATATCACCCGTAGTCTAATGGGCATGCTGGGCGGTTTGTGGATGCCATGAAACGAGCATTGTTACAATGGAAGGGGAAGGGTGGCTAGAAGGAAAACTAGTGACATTCTCCCTGAACTAACGTGTTGCTACGAATACAAATACCCCAGCTGGGAAGTTGCCTGTGGAAACACTTATGAGCCGCAAGCTAAGAGCAACCATGGGCTTACTGACTTCCAAACGCTAACTGACATGCCGTACGAATACCATAATGGAAACCCAGTACAGTAGGCGACATAAGAAGCGGCGTAGTGATTTTGAAGTCGGAGCCCAGGTGTTTGTCGTCTCTCAGCAAGGGAACATGATCAAGAGGATACCTGGAGTCATCGTACGGTGCTGTGGTCTGGTGGTGTATGAGATCCGTGTCTCAACGCAGATGTGGATCGCCATGCCAATCAAAGGAGGCCGCGCTACATAAAGAAAACAGTAAGATCGCACACTAATGAACTTGGTTTTACTAACTACTGGACAATGGCAAACGGATGGATCCCGCCGGACAAAGCACACAGCCCTTGGAAAACCCGGGAAATGAAACACAGAAGAGGCCGAAAAGGAGAAGACGATTTGTTCAGCCATTCCAAGTGAATCCCCGACGGAAAATCAACACATCGCTCAGGTAACTAACTTCTAAGAAGAGATGTTTGAGGAGCAATAAAAATACAGGTATGCTTGTGTAGCCGTTCATGACTGCAGACTTTCGTTTTGCTACGTTGGTTCACCGAGGTTTGATTTAACGCATCATTTCGTTATCCCTATTGGCTATTTGGAGTTGTTGTTTTTGCCTCCAGATCGCAGCCATAATCTGACGAGATCACTCGCACTTTAGTTCTTGGTTTTTCATCCGTTCAGTTCTTATTGGCCTTAACTGTCCGCAAACTTTTCATACTCTGGTTGGCTTACACGTTTGTGCGTTATGCTATATAATGAAGTGGTTTTTCTATGTAAGAGAGCCGTTGAATTCTGATCCTTAGTCGTTTGTGTTCCCACTACTGTTAGTGGGTGGAAAGCAGTCGCGGGGCTCCGACAAAACAGGATAGATCTTTGCAATCTCGTTGGTCGCGTATGGATATACATAGGCAGTTCTGCTTTCTGTGGTTTCAACCCTGTATTTTCAACAAGCCTGAAATTCATTTTTTTGAATGGTTGGTGGACAAGTCAATATCAATGCGCATGTTTAACGAGTTTATTGTAGAGCACCAGGATTCGAGAAACTGCCTTCCTTTTCTAGTTTCTCCATGAGTCAAAATCACTGTTTTTCTCCAATTAAAGTGGCGTCCTCCATCGACGTGTGTTGAGACCAACGACGCTGCATACTGATTTTCGCAGGATCGTCTGTGTACTTTAAATCAAAAACTTCCTCCCAGTTTGGTCCACATAGTTCTTAAATTTTTGGCATGGTATTCTGTATCCTTTGTTACGCTGCTCGTACGCCTCATCTTCCCAGTTTTGGTTGTTGGTTTGTACGATACAACCAGATGGTGTAATTTGAGTAATCTGCCTACCAATTCGATTAGGTTATTCTAATACGGTGCAACAATGGAACTAGGTTAAATCGAGTTACGTCACATGTAGTGTACATAAATATCGCTACTTCGAGCTATAAACCTAGACCATACGCATGGTCTGGGCAGAAAACCGTGGAGATAGAAGAATATGTAACAAATCCTGTAGACGTGTTTCTAAATAGTAGAATACTATACAAGGTAGGGCTCATGAATAGGTTTGTAACGTGAGATCGGTGGGCGGAAACAGATAACAGTAATGTTAATAGCAGACTGGTGAAAGCGTGACCTTGGGAAAAGTGCATGCAAACGAAGTGGAGGTAAAGCGGCACTTGTTTGAGCATGTAACGGTCTAGAGCATAAAAGCAAGTTAGTAGCTCGGAAGGTGGAAAAATGTGGGGATAGGATCACTTAGCCAGCGAAAGGAAATAATCCATCTGATGCAGGAAATCAAGTTCTTTTGGATTTTGCATATGGCATGACGACGCGTTGGTATCGATTCAGCGCTTACAGTTTTGTAGTTCAGACATCTACGTACAAAACTGTGGGAGTACTCGTTACGTAGAAATGACTTGAACAGATGCTTCTTCGCTTTCTGTTTTGCTTCCAAAATGCTGCAGTGTGAGTATCCGGCGAGATAGGGTCCACACGCAACTTCATTTGATGACATTTCCAGGGGTTGCTGTTGAAATTCCGGATTCGGTCGGTATGCGTTTCTTTTCTGTAAACCGCTTGACTTCCTCAGGATTCGATTGTGAAATAAATTCCGTTCATTGCATCGTTGAGTAAGTTGAATGCGGTCTACACCTGGCTGCGTTTGATTATCACAAACGTATCGTCCACGTATCAGACCCATGGTTTCAGGCTGATGGTTGGGAGCAGATTCTCTTACAACCTTTGCATCGCAACCTCCGCAATGAGGCCTGATATTAGTGTTCCCTTCGGAACACCTTTCATTTTCATTCCATCGAGTGTGCGATAGCTAAAGCGACAGATTGTGGGGCTTACACATTATTTTGGTTGTCGGTTTCCCGATTGCTTGTCCGTTGTTATCCAGGCGTCCTGTGATGGTTTCTTTTGCAAGGTGTAAGTTAATGGAAGTGAATAAGACTGTGAGGTAGTGAGATATTATCAGGACCAATCCTATGGTTCATACGCTTGCTAAAAAAGGAATCATTCGTCGTTAGCAGGACTGCTTATCGTGATGGCAGCTGAAGCGACATTTTATGGGCAATATGAGAGAAACAAACTAACAAATAGATGAGGGAAAGCACTCACGAGGAGAATGAGCAGCAGCAGTATTTGTTGTCGGTCATCCAGAGAACGGTGAAATTCGAGTGCATTTAGCAGCAGTTGCAAGTGGCACTTCAAGACTGTTGCAATAAGGCCAAATGACACAGAATAAGTAGAAAAGATTTGACGGCGGATGTGGGCACAACAAATTGTGACAACTTATAGGCTACAAGAGCAACGAAATACAGGTCATTGGCAACGTGAGTAGCTATACGTAGGCGAATTGTATTGGCATTCCGTTTGTCGCAGGAGGAGGCTTAGATGAAATGCTAAAAGGAAGTATTATTATTAACAGCAGTAGATCAGCCACGTGCATTGTTGCGTTGATGCTGTACACCTAGGCGGACATTGGGAAAGAGGAATAATAAGAGGGGAAAACGGGGACATGGTTTAAAATCTAAGCGGCCTATGCAAACAGGTGGCTGTCGTGCAGAGATAAGGCGGCATCAGAGAACCGCCAGATGTAAACATGCATACGATTTAGAATGAACACGCCGTCAGGCCTACATTTTATAAACAAAATCGGCAAGACAACTTGCTCATGACATACATCGTCTAACTTCACGACCATGGTAGGGGTGGAATGCGCAGATATCAGGGACTTCGCACATAGCGCACCCATTATCACCATCACCATCATCATCGTCAGCATCCATCATCATCATCAATATACACATTAGTTAGAGGTGGAAAATACCACAGCCACTGTGTCGCAATACACCAGAGAAAAAATATCAAAGGGACGCAAGAAATGTGCGTTAGCTGAGCTACCGGTAACGGATGGACATTGTTTGGGAGAGCTAGCGGCCGGCTGTTATGCCACAAAAAAGTGGCATTAGGCTTCAGGAATGAGGTCGTGGTTGGAGAGGAAGGCTAAGTCGGAGGAGGATAAGGTTGGCTCCTAGCATTGTCAACAGACGTATTCAGTCAAATGTGTCCAGCGTCTTTCGGCCCCAACCAGGGAGCCAAGAGGCTCTAATCGAGGCCAACTCCGAACTAAGATCCTTCGTTCTTCCTAACCATATCGTCGGTTGGGTTCCCCTCCTCTTCTTCCATCTATACCCTAGTCGTGCAAACAATGCACGTAGCGAAAGTCGGTGTCCGGCGTACGCAACGCGTGGTTTCACGTCGAGATATCGATAGTTTAGATGGCAGTGGCCCGCGGTGTGACTTTGCATACAATACACAGCCATCTGGTGTCGCAGAATCAAGAAGGTAATTTCAGCTCTCACAATGTGAGAATCACTTTCAGCAGTCACATACTAGTCGTTGCTGAGGCAATTACCAAGATAAGTGTGTCCATTCCCTCGTGGTAACACATGAAACAGTGTAAAAAGACGGCGACCCTGCAACAGCATTTTGATAGAGTAAAGCGCGTGCTAAAAGATGGGACCACTCGGACTCTTAGTCTACGGTCAACGTGACTGTCGGTAAGCAGTATTATCACGTCCGTTTGAAGCAGATTGAACAGTTTCATTCCAGGTAGGAGATCAGTACCTGCATGGCGAAATTCCACCCTTCCATAAAGAACTTTAGCTGACTTAAAGTGCTTGGTTATAATGCTTCTATGGTTCAAGAAAACATCAGCACTAAGGTATCAGACTAGTGAAGCACGCTTTTGACATAAGGAAGTACATAAGCAACGATTGTGCACGATGGGCCTTGAGTGCTGCTACACGGTACACGTGTCACAATCGACATGCTAGATTATGATGCAGTTGACACGTTCCCAGTGTGCATTGGACTATAACGTTCTACTCATTTGACGTCAGTCTATGCTTAACGAATGTGCCGATCCATCTGAACAGGTACATCGGGATAAAAAGCGATTCACGTAGTCACGGTCACTAAGACAATCCATAGTGAGGCAAATTTGTCGATCACTCCGTGGCAACAGAAGTGGTTTGCATCGAAATACATGATGGCAAAAAGCGGACAGATAAAAAGCCAAAGACCATAAGGTAAGTTAAGTGGAATAAAATTCTCCCAAGCGTCTAGATTATACTGTCGAACTTTTCTAACTCCTGATTGGCCCATCTTCCAAAACTAAAAAAATACTATGAGGGCGTGACAGCTATAGTTGCCTGTCATGCAGGTGTTTAAATGAATTGTGTCGGGCACCTCCCTCGCCGCGAACTATTGTTTCTCAAATCTCAACTGTTCGTGTATCTGGACAAGTTGAAGTGCTGTACTGCATAGGGGCTTACACATGCTCACGTTGGGCCGTATAGCTTCCTGCTCCACTATTCACCGAGTTCAATTCGACCAGAGAGATGGCATTCCCCTGTGTACAAGTTACCCACTAATTCCTGATTGTTGCGAGCACAAGCCAGGTATGTAATCAGAGCATACCTTAATCGGGTTAGAAAGTGCACTTAACACGGGAACTGGCGCCACAACGTCCGCAACAATGACAAACGAAGAACTTACAGGAAAGTCGATCCGAATCGCTCGACAAATAGGAGAGTCTGAGGCGACTGACAAATACCGAATACCGAAAGCGGGTGCACGAATCAGATCTGTGGAGAATCTCGCTCAGTATTTGATCAGTTGGCGAGTCCACCGGTTGTGACGATCGTGCCAGAACTACGTTGACGGCTTGGCGCAGCAACAGAATTGCGGCTTCTCCTGAGGATAGTCGAAACTTTTCTGCTTGGCAGTGAGCATCGTTGAGTTCTTTATCTGCCTTTTGGCACATTCCCTTTGACAAAAACACCTCAGCCTAGAGAATAGCGAATAAAATGAAATAAACACAGCAGCTTTGTGGAAGAAACAAAGGACGATAAGCTGTAACCCAACAATGCTTCTGGCTTTTGGGATATGTCACTTCCAGGTGGATGAATACAACGTCGACTGTACGGGGGATTCACACACCGTAGGTCCATGTAATAACATCGAATGTTAGGGAAAATAGCCGCGGCATGAAAAGCGAAATACACACGCATAATGTGAGCTTCAGCGATGATATCTTGTTTGCATGATTCGCAAGATGCCTGAACTGAACAGCGATTAAAAGTGGAAAACAGATACACCAGTAAGTAAGATGAGTAATTAGCCAAGGAAAAAGATTACTAGACGGCTTATTTTATGCGCAGAAATAAAACTGAATTGCGAAGTCCATATTCGACTGCACACGACTGCAACGGTCCAGTTGCTGGGATGACCACTCTTATTCATTATGAGACGAAAGGTCAAGACGTATGAAGGCAAAATTGCGCACATGGGATAAGTAGGAGGGAAGGAACCCTACGACTGATTGCAACAACTGCTTCCGTTAAATCTTGGCCAAACAAAGGATAATTGCTTAAAAACACGAAAATAACTTACTAACAACAAGTGAGCGCGAAGTCCTATTAGAGCTATCTTGACCAGTCCGCCCACAGAAACGTGGTCTTCAAACGTTGCCAAATTGAGATGGGACAGCGGCTCTGGACAGATGGTCGATTCCGAACGAGATGGAAATTGGTTGTTAAGCGATGAGGTGCATTTGATGCGAGCTTCAGCGGAAACTGTTATGTGTCGTAGAAGATCACAGCAAGCATTGTAGTTGCCCCGACATCTTTCCAACTCGGCTTGGCTTTTATGGAAAATAGCAAGAATCTGCATATACGAGCAGCACTCGTTTCCAAGAGAATGGAAATGTCAGAACCTAGAAACAAAGACTGAGGCAACTGATGACTTTTGGATCGCGTGACACCAACAGCTACAGATAAGGAGCGCGCGTTGTTGACTTCATTGGGGGATAAGTTGGTCACGTCAATTAACGGAAACAAGTAATCCAAAGAACCGAAGTTGTAGGCTCATGATAAGTCTCGGATAGAAGATAACGACTGGGACATTGTCTTAAAAAGTTAGATAAAAAGAGTTAAGCTTTCAACTGTTGTAATGTTCGATAAAATCATCTCATATAATGCGAAGAAATGGTGCTTATCCAGCTCGACATGCTGAACAGTAGTAAGGCAACAGGTCACTGCATCACCCCTGACTAACACTAGGGGCAAATCGCCACCTACTGGACGCGGTCCAGATTCCCATTTCGTGAGTGCGTGAAGAGAGGGGGAGACAATACCAGAATGCACATGTAGCTCCTGAACGCCAGGTGTGGGAAACGGGGAGCATACAGTTTACGATACATCTACACAGTGATCAGACCAAGCAGTTGGTCAGGGTGTCTCGCACTCTCGAGAAACATACCATTCATGTATTCTTCGTTTTGGATGCGACCCCAATGTTTACTTCGGTGTTAAAGCTCGCCCACAATAGGGATTTGTCACCATGTTGATACGCGGCGGATATGCCAACGATGTACATCAGTGATCGAGTTCATAACAAGCTGCACAACAAGGAGCAACAAAGGTGTGCCTCTTGACGCAACGCGTGACTTTTATCAGTGGTGTGAATTTACCGAGGATTATGGTGCTTACGGCATCGCAGTTTGGACAGGTAATAATCCACAGTCGCTAAGGTCTAACCGACGAGCTTCCGAAATTTTGCAGCAGAGCCAAAGTTCAAAGTCTGTGTGAGAAGTTACCATCAGGTAGACCGATGTACGTTCAGGGTTTTCAAGCATTACATGTGCATGAAACCGTTCAAATTGGATTGGAGGAATCATACAAAATGGAGCCACAGCCGAGGACATAATGAGAAGAATTAAAGTGCAGTTGATCAAACGGAAACATCATTAAGATCATGTAACGAGATAGACATACAAGAGAGTAGCTTCCCAAGGACAGCATAAGCGTAACGCATTGACCAGGCGATCACAATATGCCAGATCAGCACGTGAGCGAAGAGCTTGCTCCAACTCCACTTGCAGGCCAGCTTGACGAAGTGCCATCTTCTCCGGGGAGCGGTGGAGTATGTTCGCAACGACAGAATTCATGTGCAGAGCTTCCTTGATAGCACCCTAATTGAAGAAGATGGAAGAGAGATTTTCGTTAACAACGGACTGCAGAGATTTAGAGGTGGGTTAAAAGGTAAGCCCCAACACATTCAAGACAATCGAACGAATAGAATAGAACATGTATAGAATATGTATATTTCAAGTCAAGGCAATCAAACAGATTGTGTGAGTACTAGGTAAACTCAGGAGCTAAAACTCACTGAGTCGCCGAAAATTTTGACCATGTTAGCGAACGCGATCGAAAGCAACGAGTCTGACGTTAAACAGGGCTGCAGACAATCTGCGTTGATGACGCACTGCAACAGAGCGGTGTGTAAAACACTGGAAAGAAAGAATGAAATAGGCGTTTATTAACATCGACAGACTTGACATATAACTGTGAAAGTGACCGGCTGCACGATAAGTTATAAAGGACTTGTACAGGCATTCCAATGCTAAATCGATCAATAAAAGTGAATTTCACAAGCGACATCGTTAGATACCCTGAACTCTGAATCGAAAGGGTCGAATAATGCGACCGAGTAAGGATGTGATCCGTATATATATATATATATATATATATATATATATATATATATATATATATATATATATATATATATATACCCCATGCTGAGACTGATGTTGCATTATTGATGCTTCTTCTTTTGGTTGCACACACTTGTTGATATGGCTAGGAGCCGAGCTTAGTGGCGTTCGTGCAGTGAGTTCCTTTGTCCCACCCCATCCCTCTTAGCCTCCCTCTTCAACCACGATCACATTATTTAGCATTTTACAATTTTGCATAGTAAATAATTATGTTCTGCTGCATAGTAGCCGGCAAGTAGCTTACCGGAACGATGCCCATCCGTTACCGGTAGCTCAGCTGGCTTGCACCTGTTGCATTTTAGTATCTTTCTTCTTTTAGGTATTGCGGCACAGTAGCTGAGGTGTTTCCCACCACTAGCTAACGTGTATAATGATGATGACAGTTGCGGAACTAAGATGCAACTTCGCCACCAACCCGCTTATTCCTGTGAGCAACAAGGTCAGACTGTGGAAGCTGACCTCTTACAAAACCTATCGATTTGAGTGCACCGGTAGTGCAAGATATATTGGTAGAACGACTCATCAGTTTTTACTTCGCATTAGGGAACCTAGCCCTAAACGGCTGGCGAGCGGAGGCACTGGAGTTTTGGTAAGCGGAATATTGTACCACCTATTCGAATCAGTTCATAAAAAGAAAATTCCGAATGCGTGTACTGTGGTTTACTTGGTCCCCTTGAACGAGGCGAATGGTCTGCGATTACGAATGGTCGCCACAGTAGAAGGTATTGCGATCCGAACACTCCAAGCAACGCTATGCTTGCAGAAATAGTCTGTTAAATCGCTGTCTACCCTAGTCGAACAGCAGTCAACCTAATCGCCACTCTGACACCGCTGTCGTTAGCGTGATTACATAACCCCGACCGATCTGTGTGAGTAAGACAGCGACGAACTATCTGTTGAGTAACCATTAACCTGTCTTAACCGATTACCGTACATTTCTTATATGCTAATACCGGACCATAGATGAATTACTGAAGACAACTGCTTGCTGCAGACATGTGTTTACTTAAAAAATGTCTTTGGATAATAGGAAAAATGGGTGAAAGAAGTACAAAGCCTGACTTTGTGACGGTTGCTTCAGGCAAGATTACTCGGAAATTTCGGATGTTGATTGTGACACTCATGTGAGACGTGAGTAAGAGAGGCGCCAAGGAAAGAAAATGGAAGTGGGCTGCAATAAGAGCAATAGGAACATCGACGATGAAAACTGAGAATGTAGATGAGTGTTAAGTTGGCCTCTTCCCTCAGTATACAATAGTTGGTGGTAACTTTGGAGTTGGCATAACTGAGTAAGAGGAACACAGAAGATGAAGACGATGAGTGTAGAGGCTTCCTATTTCAGTATGCATTTTGTTGGAGAAGGGGTTTTCTGGCTCATATGAGTCCTGGGCCTTGTTCTTATGCTTGGATATTTGTGACATCGCAATAGTTCGATCACGTTTGTTCAGTTAAATATTTGATGATGGACAGGTAGATAGTTTTGTCCACTTGGGACATACCTATCAGTAAAGAATACTTTCGGAATGTTTTAAAAGAGAAATCGCTGGTTTAACGGTTAGTATTACAAGGTTTGTGGGTGAGAGCCAGGTTTCATCAACGGAGCCGGCCTACACTTCTTCAAAGTGCGTAGCAATAACGTCCCTGGCTATTGAATTCAGAGATCACATGTACCAGACGTGCACAAAGCAGTGGACGGGCCGTAGTCGATTCTATACCCGACGCGACCACTCTGAGCTAAGCACAATCACGAGGACTGTGCACCCAATCTCCTCAATCAATGACTAACTACCTCCAGCAGCCAGTATAATCGGTGTAGTGGCTTCTCGACAATTAGGCACCTTGTCAACATTAATTAAAAACGTAACCGCTCCGGGAAAATCAAACAAGAAACACAGATTTTAAAGGGAAATAAACGTGCAAAACAGATCCGGAATATGTAAAAGAAAAGAGAGCTAAGCAAATATAAATAAGTGGAATATATGGGAATTAGGTTTTGCCCGCCTGAAAGCACTGCACAACCACGACGCTTTCGATAGCATTTTATCTCATCAAGTGGAGATAGCAGGCCTCGAACCTGCGACCATTGGAATAGTAGCCGAAACCTCTACCCCTTTGGTCACCGGGTCATGACAGGCAACGCTTGACACAACCGTTAAGGACTAATCGGAGGGCCATTTTTGATTACACGCTGTGATTGGAGTGCCAAGCGTAATCACAATGTGGACCGCGATTCACATTGAAGTGAACCTTGGTCACTGCGATCAATGGGACCGTACCCAGCTTATGTCACTGGGCGGTTCAAGCCGCTGGTGGTCATGGGCTCGAGTCCTGATGGATGCGCATTACCGACGATGCCCAACAGGCTGAAATTGCAGTCTAGTGCTTTTCCGGACATGTGGACGACCATCAGATATATATATATATATATATATATATATATATATATATATATATATATATATATATATATATATATACCTCCTGGTTACCAAGCGGTTGCTACTTACAATATTCCACATTCGTTCGTACATTCGAGTAAACAACTGGGTGTAGTGATCAACAATTATCCCTTCCGCGTTTTGGAATGTGTGGAAATTCGGTGTTCAAGACCCAACAACTTTTGTTGGAAGTGTCCACACGTTGGCTCGTCCGTGTAAGCTGAATAATCCTGGCAAGTCACTGACTAGCAATTAACATGCTGATGTTGATGCTACATGTTCTGTTTCATATATTAGTCACAAGAATGATTGTAGCTATATTTCCCGCTGTACATCGCTCACACTGAAGTTAGGATAAGTCAGCTATTATCGAGTTAAGGTGCGGAAGAGCAAACATTCATGCTACCATTTAAATTTGAAATGGCCAATCATCTAGATTGACTTAAAAGTAGGTTAGTCCAACTGTGGTGGTACGGTACTGTTTAAATAAATAATTGATTGGAAAATAAATCCGGCATAGAAACAATTGATTTGTTGTGAAGAATAACTGCAACCGAGATGTATGATGACAGCTTGTTAGTAAATTGTAAGCGGTAAAATTACGATGAGAAATCCAAATTGCATGGGAATATCATAAGTCCAGTTAAGCACCTTATCTACACCATCTGCCGAGGCTCTTGATACGCATTATTTGTCTACCCTCATATGATTAACTATGCAATGCTCAATGTTTCCATTGCAAATCACACCACTGGTATGGAGATTTTACTGGTTCATTGCTTCTCAAGCCATGTCTAGTGGGTTCCATTCCAAACCCGTTGTGAAGATACCATGGTGCCCAGGTGTCCCACGACATACTCAATTTGAATATTAGATAATTAACATGTTGTGCAAGTTACTTCTTATAAATTGCCAAAATATTTTGCACACTCTCTCGAAAGCCGATGGTAGAACAGGGAGCAGCGGATTTACTACATATGTTGGTCATGTGATAGTGTCAGGGGGCCATCAGGAAATGCATGATACTAATCATTTACTAAAGCTAATAGCCAGACCGCACCTACAACACACGGGAAGCCATAATTCATTGTGTTTTACGTTACATTCAGTTGTGCATCATTCTACCTGGTAACCAAACTGATGGTATTTTCACTCGCGTAAAACCATTATCTGATGGCTCAATGTCTAAATGGGACTCGTCTAAATTACAAATCCCGCTAACATCTGTTCATGTCTCGTTACGTTCCTACTTGACAGATGGATCATAGTACATTTTATCTCCTGTGACATTGTGTAGTATTTCGGGTTGCAATCTGATGTCAATGTATCCAGATGAAGTGCGTCTGTACTGCGTACTAAGAATGAGACGAGTCATCAATTTCGATTCACGGGCAGCGGCAACACGATGTGACATCCGAATCGAAATGCTTACATCCTGCATTCAAAGATAAATCGCTCCGGAACATCCGAGAAAGTGAACAGTTTCGGCAAGTAAATGACTAGCGATTAACATGCTGATGTTGATGTGTCATGTTAGGTTTCATATTAAATCTGTTAGAATGATTCGAGCTGTACTTCCTGTCCTTCATCCGACAACCTTATCTTAACCGAACTTATGAAAATCAGTTGACTCCAGCGCACCATTTCCCTACAAACCTGCATAGTTGCCTACTCACAAACTGTCATCTTCCGTTTGTGTCATTCTTATTCTAGTGCTAATGTAAGTATAGTTTGGGTACAATTGCTATCTGGAATGAGGAAGTACGGACTTGGTGCAACGCAGTAGCATTATTGCACCTGTGTAAGAGGCACCTACTAGAAGTTGTATTAGACGGGGTCAATCTTCTGGGTAGACTAAGAAAAAGGTAATGCCAACGGAAATGGTACGTAAGTGTCTTAGTAAATTACATCGGAAAGGAATCGGCGCATAGGGAAAATTTGTTCACTTTACGAGCACCGAATAGCTGCACCCCAGGCGTACTGAAGTAGATCGTAACCAAATAGTTTATATCCATAACAGGATACACAACGGTATGTACAAACGGATGGGTACTTGGATGACAACCATGCTACGTCTTGGACATTTGCAAAACAGTGCGAACACTGTTTGGAAAACCGCAAGTTTGACAGTGGCCAGCGGGACTTAGTTGATGTAGTACTGTGGTAGTTGTCGTGTCAAATAGGCCGTAAGAGGCGAACACCAACAGTTCGTATTGGGTACTTAGTCGCATGCCTGTGCAAGTAACTGTTAGCCTGACCTCCAAACGAAACCCATACACGTTTGTAGCACTATTG